ACATGGACATCTTGGACATGTTGTCATGGGAACACAAAATCACATGACCTGGACCATGACCCACCAGACTGTTCAGTGTGTGTCACTTAGGGACTAAAGCTGTATAAGGAACTTTCCAGAACATTTAAAGTTCATGTGACACCCGTCCCGTGTCCAGGTCCCGTGTCCCGGTGGGTCCTTATGGGTCAAAGGCACATTTGAACAATGTATAACTCGATCATCACGTATGACCTTCTACAAGTGTGTGGCATTGAGTGTATTAGGGATGCCATGATACACATTTGTAGTCATTATCAATATCAGTAAAATTCCATGATTTCTGGATACCAATTTCTATACCACTGCAATAAATACAAATAAACCTAAATAATACAATGTACTTTACTTACTCTTTTTACATTTGAGTAGGATGTTAAATAGGTCGTAAATCCCTCTTTAATATTTGCTCCTATTAAACAATTGTATTTTTTCAAGTTTCTCGACAAAAACTACATTTGCACACATATCGGTAACATTATAATTCTTTGGATCTCGTGCGCTTCAGAGACAACACACACAGACATTTTATTTTGATGTGTTTGGGGCGTTTCCAAAGCATAGTTTCCACAGCTCGGAAAGATCCGCTTGATTCTCCAGCTGGACACAATACCATACCCATTAGCCAGCTAGACTGAACATCACCAAACTAACTGGATTGTGTCTTTGATCCAATCAGAATCAGAATACCTTTATTCGTCTCACACTAATATACATTTTTAGTAGGAAGGGATACCGGACAAATCTACTCATTCTGACTTTAAGACTGTAGCTCCTCTTCTTTGAAACCTGCTCAGATTGCCTTGAAGATCCTCCGGGTCCAATATTTTATTTAATTTAACCTTCACAATACTGTTTTGGCAAGTGGATTTTCTAAGTTGTAATTGTATTTTTGTACACAGTCATCCATGTACACGCTGAGACAAATGTGTTTTGTGATATTGGGCTTTATAAATAACATTTGATTCGATTTGGATTCAGTACCAAATGTGAAAACCCTGCTCACCGTACTGCCTGCAAAGCCAGGGTGGTTCCAGCCCAGCACAGAGTAGCCACCTACAGCGCACACAAACAAGTTGAATGGAAATGCAAATAGGATACAAATGATATCTGTGCTTTAGTTCGATACAACATCTTAAATCTTGTGAAGTACAGGATCCTCACCCTCCAGTGGAGTGTTCATGCAGCCCACCTCATAGAAGCCTGCGTTCCCCTCACAGCAGATGACCTGTGGCAGAATTCAAACACCCGTAACGTGAGACACATTTTGTTACAAACCTGGAGCAAGCCCAAGGCACAAAAACAACAAATGAGTGCAGCCACTAACCAGGGTCTGGCCTTTCTGTCCCCCCTCCCTCCTCCGGTCCACAAACATCGTGTCGATCTCATTGCCATCGCAGGCCACAAGCTTGTTCCTCTGGCCATCAAACTGTGACAAGAAAAGTCGATATCAACAGAGAATGATGATTTATTGAAGTGAAAATACACAGTTCTAGTGTTAGTGTGTGTTTGTACCTCTTCTATTAGCCTGGCCTGGCCTTGCTGGAGCATGGGCCTCATGGCTTTCTGCAGTAAACCCACAGAGCCCGGGTACAGCATCCTCCTCCCAAACGAGTGGACAATGAGAAAACTAGAGAAGAACAAAATGGACTTCATAAGCAATACTGGAATAGTACTTTTTAGTTTCCTGGTAAAATAAGAATGAATAAACGGTAAATTTGTTTAATTCCAGGTTTAATATGTGCAATAAGTTCATTTCAATAAGTTTTGCAATAAACATTGAACCAGTCCGGCCCTCGACTAGTAACCATTTTTTTAATTTGGGGCCCACTGTTGTATTTAGAGTTTGACCTGGTTTAGATGTGTACTGGAATAGTACTTTATAGTTTCCTGCACATTTGTATTGATTTAATGTAATATTTAATATTCCATTCCTCACGCAATTAATTTATATACAATATCCTGCTTTATATTTTGTTACTGTAAATTTGTATTTCAACAGTATATTTTTTAATGCTATTTTATTTCTATTTGAGATGTTTACATTTTGGATTGTTTATTTCTAGTCTTTTAATTTCTCTAATGTACAATCTCTTTTTATTTTGCTGCAAACATTTCTCAAATTGGGATCAACAAAGTACTTCTTATCTTATAAGAGTGAATAAATGGTAATAAGATGCAAACCGCTTTTATTAGTAACCTCAGCCACATCATAGACTATGCATTACATTAAACACACAATGTACAACAATATCCGTTTTCTTTTTGTATTACTGCCAATTCTTATTCCATATTTCATGTAAATACCGTTATATTTTACTATATTTTTTATTATTTTAAATATTTTTCTAGTTCTCTATCTGTTTTTTAAATATTAGTTTTACCGTTATGTATGCACCACG